CTGGCAAGCCAGTGGCCGTCTGTCCTGGTGGTGGGTTATCAGCCTCCTAAAATTCATACTCATCTAGAAATCTAGAATGTCAGAATGAGACCTTCTTTGGAAATCAGGTCTTTTCAGGAGTAAATAAGATAAAGATCCAGATGACGTCCCACTGGGTTGGGGGGGCCCTAAATTGGTTGATACAGGAAAGGACACACAGAGTCCCCAGGAGAAAGGGTGCATGAAAACGGGGGCAGAGGTTGGAGTGAGGCTACTGCCAGCCAGGGAATTACCAGAGGCTGGAAGAGCCAGGATTGCCAGGGGCCACCAGGAGCTGGAGAAGACAAAGAAGGATCCTTTCCTAGAGCCCTTAGAAAAAGCATGGCCCTTCCAACACCTTGATTTTGGACTTATGGCCTCCTGAACCATGAGAGACTCAGTTTCTGCTGTTTGAAGCCTCCCTGCCTGGTTCTGGTGATTTGTTATGCCACCACCCTTGCCTCTAAGACGTGAACGGATAGGAGATGTGGACTTAGAACCCTTACATGGACCAGAGGCAGCTGGGATGGGGATGAAGAGCATGAGTTTGGAGCCAGACACGGGCTCAGCTCTTTCCCTTGCCTGCTCCAAGCCTTTGTTTCCCTATTTGGAAGAATGAGAACATACCCAATCCTGCTGGCTCGTGGTGAGGATTAGAAGAGAAGACGGCAGAGCATGTGCAGAGGTCCTTGTCACCTTATATTGTGCAGGGCGGGCCTTGGTTAATTCATTCCTCACAGCTGCCCTGGGTGGTGGGTCTCTTCTCATCCTCCTGTTACAGAGGAGCAACTCAGCCACTGAGAGGTTAACCAACTCTCCCAAGGCCATACAGCCAGTGAGGGACCATGCTGGGACATCTGATTATGGGATTCCCCCCACTCCCTGCCCCTAGATCACCACAGTCCTCAATTGTCCTGTTTTCAGAGTTCAAGGAGCTGGTCCTCTAGCCCAGTTGGATCTCGGCACACGGGAACGATCAATACATATTCATATCTCTATCCCATCCTTCCCTCCTTGTTCAAACCAGGACTTATTGTTCCAATCCCAGGAACCATCTTAGCATGGTGTCAGGGGCAATAGGACCCCGAATCTGATTCCAGGGGCCTTAAGGCTCAACCTGATGACCTCAAGAAGGTCTTGACCCAGCACATCACATGGAAGGTTTCCTGCAACTCTTCTGTAGACAGCCCCAGCCTGAGACGGCCTCTGCCCTCTCTCCCTCCACTGCATCTTCCTTCTCACGCTTCTCAGGCACCAGCTCAGCCAGACGGCCGGATAGTCCTCAGGACCTGCAACCCTTAGGCAGCGAGGAGACGATTGTACGGCTCTCCAATTTCACGTTTTCCCTTCTGTTCACACAGTTGCTCAATACCCCCCCCTCCCGCCCCGAAGCGCAGCAAGTTCTGCACTGCCTATGTTCTGCATTCATCTATGTTGTGAAATCTTGGAGTTTTCCGAAAATATAAAAGAACCAGACATTGCTCTGGGACACAAGGAGAGAAAATCTCCAACAGGCCTTTGACCGTCGGGCCAACATTTGTTCTCCCCAACTAATTCCCTGGCCCTTTCCTGTCGCCTTTGTCGTTATTTCTCTTACAAATTGGGAATTGGCTCAGAGAGGATGAAGGGAGGCCAGTCCTTTCAATGCAGGCACCGACTATGGAGAATTGCTCCCCTCCTGACTCTTCAGTAAAATGAGGAGTTTTGATTGGGGGAGGGGAGACGGGTCATTTTCCCACATGGAATGGACGCCTCAGGGGTGGGTGATGGAAGGGTGTGCCCACTCACCCCAAATCTGATGCCTGCTGGGCAGCTCAGGGCCAGGAGAGTCCTACAGACAGACAGGCATGGCATGAGGGCTCCTGGGAGTAGATGGTGCTTCCAGATCCGGGCAGGCAGAGGACTTCAGGGAAGCCTGCAGATCACAGTGCCCTAAGCCCTGTACAGGTGTGGGGGGCCAGATCCCCCCAGTCACAGGAGAGAGACAGGTAGAAAGAAGGCAACTTTCCAGTGACAATGCCTGGCAACAGGACTGAGATGCAGGGTGGGGCCTGGCCTTGGGGATGAGCGTGCAGGGAGTTAGCAGATACTAGTAATGATACTCTGGTCTCAGAGGAAAGCCAGGACACCTCCTCTCCCAGGGTTCCCCAGCATCTCTTAAAACCCAGCCATTCCCTCTGGAAATGGCGCCTAAAGGAGCTCTTAGATGTGTGTGAAGATTTAGCTTTGAGAAGGCTCATCTCAGGCTGCTTATGGCGGAGAAAAATGGGAAACAACCGAAATGGCTGCAGATTGACTAAGTGATTCGTGACACAGCCACAAATAGAAAACTACCTACCCTTTCGCACTGCTAGGGAAGAACATCCAAGAACAGGCAAAAGTGAAAAGAGCCAAGCAATAACATGGTGAGGACTTGACTTCATGCTATAAAAATAAGAGCTAGATCATGGTGGATATGTGCATATGTATATAATGGTATACGTGTGTGCATATTTCCATGCATATATTAACATTTTTAACTACTAAGATTTTAGTGTACATTTTTTCGTCTTAAAAACTTCACATGTCTGTGTATGGTATTATACATTTTAGGCTGGGCAAGGTGGCTCATACCTAGCACTCTGGGAGGCCAAGGTAGGAGGTTTGCTTAAGGTTAGGAGTTAGAGACCAGCCCAAGCAAGAGTGAGACCCCAGACATGGCCCTCTAACCTGGACAACAAAGAAGGATTATATATAAAATAAAAAGATTATACAGGCTCGGCGCCCATAGCACAGTGGTTACGGTGCCAGCCACAAGCACTGAGGCTGGCAGTTGGAATCCAACCTGGGCCTGCTAAACAACAATGACAACTTCAACAAAAATATAGCTAGGCATTATGGTAGCCCAGCTGCTTGGGAGGCTGAGGCAAGAAAATTGCTTAAGCCCAAGAATTTGAGGTTCCTGGGAGCTGTGATGACATGGCACTCTATTGAGGGCGATGTAGTGAGACTCTGTTGGGTGGTCAACTTACAGAGGTTCTACTATATGGTCCTATAGATATACCCTACATATAAAATATATAATCATGTAAATTACCGTATACTTATATCTATCTACAGATAGATAGAGATTGTAATATGCATACAAGAAGAATACACACCAAATTGTTAATGGTAATATGTATATACACACACTTACATATGAGAGCTATCTGGAAAGTATGCAGCCATTATTATTATTATTATTATTATTTTGCAGTTTTTGGCCAGGACTGAGTTTGAACCCGCCACCTCCAGCATATGGGGCCAGTGCCCTACTCTTTGAGCCACAGGTGCCGCCCAGTATGCAGCCATTATTAATATTACTTTTCATAGTACATGGCCAGATGATTTGCTTTGCAGAAGTGTTATAAAAATTCCGGTGTTGAAGCCCTAACCCCCAGTGTGGCTTTATTAGGAGATGGGGCCTCTAAGGAAATTTTGGCTTTACCATAAAAGGCCTGTTGGAGATTTTCTCCCCCTTCAGTTCAGCGTTTCTGCTTTTATATTTTCAGAGAGCTCCCAGGTTTCCACAACATAGATGAGACAGAAGATAATTCAGAACCTGCTGTTGAGTTGGGGAGCAAATATTTTATATGTAGTGTTCGTAGGAACCATATAGAGAACCATAAATAGGACCATATAGTAGAACCTCTGTAAGTTGACCATTCAAGGGACTATAACAACTGTAAAGGGGAGGGAGAGAGGGGATGTGGGTGAATGGAGAAAATGTGAAATTGGACACTTTGTCTTTATGAGA